CCCCAAAACCCCAAAACCCCAAAACCCCAAAACCCCAAAACCCCAAATGCTTTTTTTAGAAAATAGAACTAAAATTGGCAATTAAATTAATCAAGGATTTCAATTTAAGGTTGGATCATTCCAAAAATATAATTTGATATTTTTTTAGATTTATCTCATTATATCTTTTTTGATCAATAATGGTCGACAGAGCCTAAGTTTTTCAACTTAATTATCTTGATCCTGATTATTTTCACTCAGATTCAGGCTAACAGATTGATAACCATTTCGTGTGCTCAGTTTGCCTTGGAGTTGTCTTAGAACCATAATAGTGTGGAAAATGCGAGAGAGCCTATTGCAAGGGATGCTTAGTAGAGGGAGCATAATGTCCAAACAGATGTGGGAGTTCAGAGTACAAAACTCTAGGACGATTCGCTCTAAATCATCTAAATTCATGCTAATTCAAATGCTAGTATGCTTCCTGCAAGACTATTACCAAGTATGAATAATATTAAAAGCACGTTCAGGATTGTGATGAAGGAAAAAAGATGTGCAACAACAAATTCTGCAATTAGTAGAAGGGAGAACAAGCAAAAGAACTTGAATAATTAAAAGAAAGCATTGAAAATTATGAGACAACACTATAGTAAAAATCAAATATGGTTGATTCACTTAGAAGTTAAATTTCAGAATATAAGTAAATGGTAAAAGATCTTTATAACTAAAAGGATAAGTCCACTGATAGCCTTAAAGTGTAACAATAACTATAACTCAAGGTAGTCTAACTAGAATCAGAAAAGAAAGAGTACTTATCATAAATAGAAAGCATTTCATTAAAAGTCAAGTAGCTATCAGAAAATAAACTAAAAGACCCAACAACCATAAAGTGCCCAAATAACCATTTACTCAAAATGAAAGACAAGCATCCAAACATTCATTCAACTAATATCATGTGTGATATATGTCGCAAAGATCATATTGACAAGCAATTAATATTTTTCAAATGTGATATGACTTGCGATTTTGATATGTGCTCAAGTTGCTACATATTGCATCTATTTAATCAAACTGCTACCATTGAGAGAGTAAAAGAAGCAGTAATAAGAAACTAGGAAAGAGCAAGACTTTCGCAAGCTATAGAGCAAATAAGAGTCATATCATTATTATCTAAACTATAGCAGTTATGATGTTTCTCTGATAGAATAAGAAATATAATTGATCATTTAGAGTTTATTTATTTACTATTTAATTTTATCTTTAAGAATTAACTTTTTATAAATATCTCTTATTACCCCGGGGTTTTGGGGTTTTGGGGTTTTGGGG